CAATTTAGCTCACGAAGTAATAATAGATTTGTCATCCGAGTTGAAAATTAGAGCTTACTTCCGCTAAACAATAACTGATTGTCATTTATACTTGGTCTTCGATTGTGATAGTACTGTAGGTAGTGACTCAAGTTTTTGGCCGTTGCCGGGGAACACAACAAGTTATTAGGAAAAGTGGACTATTAATACTTTAGCTTTTCGTTTTGTTTTGCTTTTTACATGTTGTGTTTGTTGAGTTGTGATACAGGATGTGTACGACATGGAGTAATCCGTAGAGCTTGCAACCAACCGACCATGACATAAATCGTACCTTTCTCTATCTTGCTAGGGAGACAGAGGTAAGAGAAGCTCGAGAGAGGTTCACCACTCACAACCCTCTATAGCAAGAAGAAGAAGTTGGAGTAGGAGTCGAAGTTGAAGATATGGTGGAAAATCAACAAGAATTGAGTGTGGATGCACCAAATAGAACTATGGGGGTATTATTTACCCCGAGGGTCGAATACATAGAACAGAGCATTTGAAATCCACCCATTACAACCAACAACTTTGAAATCAAAGTGTGTCATGTCAACGATTCACAATATCCAATTCTCCGGTCACAACCATGAGGCACCAAAAGATCACATCAATAGATTCTTGGAGCTCACAGGTGAGATAAAGATGAATGGTGTACCACAAGAGGCACTCCAATTATGGCTATTTCCATAATCATTCGGTGGAAACTTGATCTTCTTTTGAGGCAAAGTCGATGCCTTGATTAGGATATTGAAGCGCACTGATAATGCATCAAGTAGCCATCCAAAAGCTCAAGTGCATATATGTGATTGGTGCCAAAGTCCTAACCATTCTCTTGAAGAATGCCAAGCGATGACAGAAGCCACCACGCCCAAGAAAAAGAGGATTTCATGGCAAAGGCTAGAGGAGGTAATAATCCATTTAACCACATAACAATCTGGGGTGGTACCAACATCACAACTTCTCATGGGCATCATCTTCTGACCCAAGACCTCCAAGTTTCCATGCATGATGGGAGGGTTTCAGCAACAAAGGCCACCATTTCAACAATAAAGGCCTCCTTACCAATCTCAAAACTTTCAACCTCAAGAATTCCAACAACAACAACAACTATACAAGCTTTCCGAGCTTGAGGACCTTGTCAATAGAATGAGAATGAAGAAGTTTGAGGCAATAGAGAAGTTCATAGAGGCGGCCATATACAAGTTTTTGCCAATTGAATCTGGTTCCTTGAGTCACCAAACATCCTTTCAAAGCTTGGAGGCAAAGCTGGACACCATAACCACAAGAGACCACACATGCTTGAGACCATCTTGCCGATCTTAAGACCATCAGCCTTAGGAGCAGGAAGGAGATTACAGATGTTCCTGCACCCAAGCAATAAAAAGAAGTATTAGCCACTCCCGATAAACTTGTGTAAGTTGATGAAGAGGAGAAGGAGGTAGAGGTATCTAATCCTCAGCAAAGCATGTGGGGAAGGAGTATGTCCCTCTACTCCCTCTTCCTACTCGGTTTCATAAGGACTAGTTGAAATAGAGCTTGCCAAATTCATGGAGATGTTGAAGCAGGTGCCCATCAAATGACCATTTGTGGACCCCTTGTCTAGATGCCTAAATACACCAAGTTCTTGAATGACATCCTCGTCGGCAAGAAATAGCTCGAGAATCTATCCACGATGATGCTCAACGAGGAATGTTCTAACACACTGTAGAACAAGTTGCAAAGCACAAAGATCCATGAAGTTTTAGTATCCCTTGCCCCATTGGACCTTTTCATATAAAAATTCCTTGGAAGACCTATGGGCTAGCATTAATATCATGTCATACAAGTTGTTTAGAAAACTAGGCCTAGGCGAACCTTTTACCCTTAGGATGAGCATTCAATTAGCAGATCGTTCTATTGTGCATCCCAGGAGAATTGTATAGGAATTACTTGTGAAAGTTTGTACGTTCATATATCTTGCCGATTTTGTGAAATTCTACATAAATGATTATGTGAATGTACCTCTGATTCTATGTAGAAAATTTTGGCCACCGCCAAGGCATTGATTAACGTGAATGATGGTAAACTTATCCTAAAACCTGGGACGAACATCACTTTCTCTATTTCTGATGGCATAGAACATTCTTGTGTGCATAATGATATGAAATATTATGATACTGTGGTTGATTTTGAATCAATACTCACCATTGCGAGTGCTGGTACTAATGAATCCCTTGAGCAATATCTTGTGATAAGTAAACATGCATCAGATGAGCCACAACTTTTGGGGCAGTTAGAAATGCTAGATGAAGCAGAGGTGCGCGAGCATGAACCACCAATAGAACCAATTCCCTAGTATGAAAGGATCACCAAAACCTTAGAAGAGCCACCAGAGCTGGAGCTCAAGCCCCTTTCTAGCCACCTTGAGTATACATTTTTTAGGGAGGGTGACAAGCTTCCACTGATTATTAGCTCTGATCTCACATCCGAGTAGAATGAGAGACTTGTGGAGCTACTAATTAAGGAGGCATGAAAAGAAAATAGCTTGGAAGATCAGTGACATCAAGGGATCAAACCCTCCTTTTGCTCTAACAATATTCTCATGGAAGAAGACAACAAGCTGGTAGTGCAACCTCAATGTCGATTGAATCATCATATGAAGAAGGTGCTGAAAGTAGAGGTGATCAAGCTTCTAGAAGCCGGTATCATCTATCCGGTTTGGGATAGTGAGTGGCTTAGCCCAACCAGGTGGTACCCAAGATTGAAGGCATGATGGTGGTGGCCAATGATAAGAGTTAGCTTACCGACAAGGATGGTGACAGGATGGAGAGTTTGTATCGACTATTGACTCATCTTTAACAACATTAAGAAGTGGCCAAGTTTAAACCACGACTTAGGATGTAGTACAGTGGATCAAAGCTTTACTTGTTAACCTAGGGCCCTAGAATTACTATTACTTAGTGATCGATCTTTTTATTCAATATTCGATTTGTAGTGAAGGTTGCTAATACTAAGAGGAAAATGCTAAGATATGTTGATTCGATTCAGATGAAAAAGGTCACTCGATTATGTGTCCCCCAAGCCGATAGTTGTAATTCCCCTTAATTCATTTCAATTGACATTTAAACTGCGGAAAGTCTGAGATAGTATGAAATCTCGACTAAATAAATCTAGACCCTCTTGAATAGAGTATCTAGAGGGAGATTATCCTCAACCAGAATAAAATATCAAGGCAATTCAATTGGACATACACTACTAGGTTTTGAATCCAGTACAGAGCATAAAATCGATTCACTCTCGTGCAATCGATTCACAACTTGCATAAAAAGCCTATATAAGGAGCTGAACTAAGTCTTTTACAGGAAAAAAAATCGACAATTTTATTCAGAAATACAAGCCGTAGAATTGGTTGTTCATACACCAACTTCTCTTCTTCTTCTTGTTTCTTGGTCATGGAATCGATTCAGCAAGAAGAACCCGATGTTTTCTGCTAGCTCATCACCCTAGTCGAATAGTCATTCATATACCTGACCCTCTTCCTGACGTGTGGATTAGGTGTGGGTTGTTAGCTGCTTTGTGATCGTTTTGATTCTGATAAATCTTTGCTGCGTTTCTGATTGTTCAAGTCCAGGAATTAGATCTTCGACTTATATCACCTCTAGAAATCTTCTTCAACAAGTAGCTTCGTCCCCAAGTTGCGGGAAACTGACTTCTAGTAGGATAAGGAAGGATTTGTTTGAATTTTAGATGCTTTAATAATCTCTTGTGTATGATCATTGATGCTTTATTTCATATGATGTTTTAATAGTCTGTGTGTGACTCTATGATGATGCTTCTTTTGTTTCATGCTTAATATAATTTTGGTGGTCAAGAAATTATCATCTAGTGGTATCCCATTGCCTTGTGTATGCTTGATTAGTTGGACGCATCTATACATAAGATCAATGCTTGATTATTAGATTATCGATGCTATAGACCATCAATTATGGTTCGTCGAAGCCCACAATTAATCAAATACTATCCTAACTTCTTCGTTCTTTATTGATTAGGTGATGGCATGAAGCGAAAGCACTCATTAACTTGTCAAATCTCTATCCGAAGAGGCGCATGTACGGGTAGAGAGTGGCCTTAAATGATGGGGTATGACATCATAATAGATTATGCATAGATGCGTCTTATTGAGGAGATTGTATGCATGACCATCTATAATTGCTATCTAAACATTAGTTTCATTGCTTGTTGCCTTGCTTGCTTGCATTGTTTGTTCTTTACTTGCATAGTAGAGTAGGTGGTGAATGATCCTTTAAAGTTCGGCTAGACTTGTATGGATATATATGTAGTCATTAAGCATGAGTTTATTCTCTGGTTGGTGGTGAATGATCGTTTGAAGTTGCACAACAAGCTGCTTGCATGGGAAAACCAGTTTCTGGGCTTTGTGTTCTCTGCCCAAGTGGCTTGGAAGCCCGATACAATTGGTGGGTACTCGTGTATTCAATTTATTTTTTGCATGGTATTGCACGATCAAACACCACTAGAGCTGGGAGATTGGCATACGTTGTTGCAATGGTGTGTAACCAAATGGAGTGGCAAGTCAGCATAAGTTGTTATTTGGAAGAGTAGTTTAGAGTGTGGTTATAAGTCTGATATGGAGAGAACAATGCTCTAGATAGTATGGTTTGTGAAGCTCTGAAGCGTACAAACCAATTAGTACATGATACATAGTGTATTAATTGTGCAAGCCAGGTGCCAGGTTGACTAGCAATTTACGAGGTTTTTTTTTTTATAGTTTGTGAGGTTCAATATGTACCGATGATTGTTTTAGCGAGGTGTCATAGTATTTGCTATTGATTTATCGGAGGTTAATGAAACTTTGATTTGACCATTAAAAAAACCTAATGTTTCTTATTTTTCCGAGCAACGACTCCAAAACTCAATTATCAATTCACGCGTGAACACGAAACCAGAAGTAAACTCAAAATGATAACTTCCACATAATTTGGAGTCACACATATATGAAAATCGAACAAATGAGAAAGCAAAAACAAAAACACCCCCATTGAGATTTGAGAGTATCCCAATTGCCACACTACCTCGACAAACAAACTTTTTTTGCATGTCCGCTTTCCTCCTTTGGAGCAAATAATCAATTAATGATCTTGCAATCCCGCCTAATCTCGCCACTGCTCCCGGTCAAGGGGCTGATGTTGCCCATGTTGATCATAGACTGAGCGAAGCTCTGGAAGAATGCGGTTTGGTTGGCGCTGAATGCGTTGACCAGCGCGACGGGAGCCCCGTTGGCGGAGAACAGCTCCTGGTCGGACTGCAACAGTCCCTGGTTGCCCTGGAGGTTGGAGAAGTAGTTGTTGTCGAAGGCGTCGGGCGTGGTCGGGTCCAGGTTCGCCAGAGCTGCTCCGTTCCCGTTCTGTGGACACGTCTGCTGCAGGGTCGTCACGTAGGATGAGCTCAGGGTCGGGTCGGGTCCTGATGCGGTGAAGTTGTACAGCCGGTTCACGAACGTCCTGCACTGCGCCCGCCCGAACGTGTGGGCCCCTGTCGTTTGGCAATAATTCAACCTTATTAATTATCATCATCATCATTACTTTGTGGAGATTTTAATGACTAATGTTTCAACTATAGATAATGCAACAAGGTCATTAGCAATCCGGCAGGAATTTTGATAGTGATGTGGCATGTTAGATACAGGTCGGGTAATTTAATTATATAGTACGTGTCGGACGGGCAATTCATATGAATATGTAATTTAAAAGAAAAAATATTTGATTTTTTTTATTATTATTAGAAAAATAAAGAAACATTAAGATGATAAATTTAGTAAGAGTATTTGATAAATTGAGATTCTTAAATATATACAACTTTATTAAATCTAATTTGAGTAAAATTGTGTGTAATTTATACTAAAATGGTGTCGAAACTGAAAGCGAATCAGAACAGATCGGGTATAGAATATAGGTATCCATGCCCACCCTGCTCCCCTACCGATATTACTCGTCCTAAACAAGTAAAATAGGTTGGATAAAAAATCGAAATTGCCATGTGGTGTTAATCTATGAATCAATTTGAGTAGGTACCTGATAATGCAACAAGGTCGTTGGTGTTGAGCCCAACTGCACTAAACTTGGAGGTAAGGTTGGAAAGATTATCAAAAGGAGCAGGAATCGAAGCGTTGGCTCCACCTTGGTTAGCACTTCTGCTGTCCCTTCTTCCCAGCGGTACGCTCCATGAAGGCCCTCCTGACTGCACATATATATATATGTATTCAGTTAACTAACTACCCACTATTAATTGGAGAGTTACGGTCGGTCAGTAAGGACCAGCTGGCTAGATTACCAGAGAAACGGAAGCTTCGGCGGCGAGAGCAAGAATGTCGGCACACGACACGACGCCGGGGCAAGCGTTTTCCACGGCGGTCTTGATGTTGTCAACCACCCCGAACCCTCTCGCGGAGTTGACGTTCGGCGCAGCGTTTTGCTCGCTCTGGATGTTTGTCGTCGAATTGTCGGTTAGCAGGATCGACCCATCGCATCCCTGACCATCACACAGATTCAGATCCATATCAACCTTGTAATTAAGTTCACTTCAGATCGAGTAGTTTTAGTAACAAATAAATTGTTTACCTGGACGAAGCAATCGTGGAAGTGGAGGCGGATGAGGCTGGCGCCGATCCTGGCATCGGACTGGAGAGCTTGTTGAATCACGGTGCTGACGATGCCGGAGACATTGGGGCAGGTGGTGGCGTAAAATGTTGAAGTCAACTGAGCGTTCGACTGGCAAAGGAGCAAACCTATGGTGACGAGGAAAGTGGTTGCTAATGGTGAGAAGATTAATGTCGTGGTGACTCCCCTGGAAGAACCCATATCGATCGATCGATCTTTTGGCTATCTGTTTAAGTGAACTTTAAAGCTAATTATTACTATGGGAAAGAATGAAAGAACTTTCTAGTTTCTGGCTGTATGTTGTGGTGTGGGGATATATCTGAACCTTTGGCCAACTTATATAGGCGACGGGGGGAGAAACATTGAGGAGCAAGGAAGTGGTTACTTTCCTTATAATTGCCTGGACCTCGCTAGCAAGCTCCTATTGTTGACGGCTTCTCTTCCATATAGAAGCTGTATTAATTATTAATCTTGTATAATAATATTATTATTACTACAGGGGATCCATTCATGGATTAGGTGCAAGTCGTTCGTCAAGGAAACGGAGAAAATGGAGTAGAAAAATAGTAGTATAGTACTAGGGATAATGACCATATACATTGCGGAAGAAATCGCGTAGAATAATTGATCGAATGAAGATTTTCTTTGTTATTTATTACAGAGCCACAATTGAGATTCTGGTGGTAGACTAAATTTATCAATTGTCTCCTTCTCTGAATTTATTACAAGTTTCACATGTTTTTATAAACATATATACTTATTCTTCTTACGGTTATGAATAATTTGCTCACTACTTATCCCGATATAATTGAAGCCACGATACGTATAATTTCGGATAGCTAGTAGCCTAGCACGTACATTGCATGCGAGTTTTGTGAAACCATACTAAATGGTATAGCAGCGGTGAGAGTTAGCCTGGATTCAATCGTAAGATCTCTTTATAAATTAAGGTAGGTTCAACATTAACTAACTGCTTTGGGTTTAAAACAATATGGGCAGTGGTGATGATTACTCTTTATTGGCTTTTGAGATGATGCTTTCTTCGAGCCCAAGTTGTAGGAGCTGAGAACGAAATGTAAGATAGCCGAGTCTTCTCATCCTTAAGGATGGTTGAAATGTTCAAATTACAATGCTTGATGACTCTAAGAAGCAAGACTAGGACACCCCAAAAACTAATATATAAGAAGTAATAATGTTGAGGATCCAGAAGCTACAAAATTAGACGAGGGATATATGTTAGTTAGTTGGTTAGGTAACTGGGTAACAAAGCGACGGCAGGGGGAGGGGATCCAGAAGCGGTGAAAGTCAAAGTGATGCAAGCAGGCACCCACCAACTAAATATGATTGATTGCCCATCTAATCTAATTACCGCCAACTCCTTGGATTGGGATAGAAAAGTAAGCGCGTTTCTGTGCAGATATTTAATATATACATGGCTTTAGATATGCATGCTATGACTAAATCCAAATCAGACATTTCTCTTTAGTATTTTCACACAAATGAAGAAAAAAATTATTGTTCTTTAGTGTACTTTGATTAGACTTAAACGTAAGTTTGAATTCATCTCAACAAACGGGGAGATGTATTCCCTTATTTTATATTAAATCACAATTACTAGCTATTGCGCCAGAAGGACAATTATTGTTTTTCGGGTTGGATTGGATTCGGGTGTAACTATATCCAATCCGCTCCGACCCGTATCCGTTCCCAACCACGAATCTCGTACCCACTTCTCATTCGGTCATTCCCCTATACTAATTCCTAAACCTAATTCCAAAAAGAAAAAAAACCCCGCCCCCTCCCCTACAACCACTCGACCTCGATGTCACCATTAATGATGACTAAGATCTAGATTCAGCTTCATGTGTTACCGGTATTTTCTGCTTCATGCCGCCATTAGTATTCTAAGCAATATATGTCTTCCTTAAGAAACTAATTTTCCTTATGTTCATGCAGGCATGTCTAATTTGTTCTTCCTAACTGTATAGAATGAAGTTGATATTATGGAGTGAAGAGTGAAGAAGCTTATTAGTTGACAAGGAGGAAGAAACTTTCAATTAATCATATTGTTTATGGATGTTTATCTTTAATGTTGAACAATTTGTATAGATACTTTGTGGTTTGCTTGTGTGCTCTAGATTGATATTTTTTGTCTAGATAATTTGTATGGGAAGAATGTGTTAGACTTTTATTTTGACAGGAACTTGTGTTAGAATATGACTTGAATTTGATTTGGCTTTTGTTTTGGCTTTTTCCTTGTAGGCTTGGAAAAATGTATTTGGTTTTCTGTTTGGGATAGGAGAAGAGTTCTATAAATACTCTTCATCACCTTAATCTGTAGTAAGGTCAATCAGGTTTGTTTGTTTGGTTTGTCCGTTTGGAATTTGGTTTGTAACCTGTACTCTCCTCAAATTAGTGAAATTTGTCCCCCCTGCCCGTGGATTAGCTAGCACACATTGTGTTAGTGAACCACGTTAAACTTGTGTTCGTTCGTGTTGGCTTGGATTATCGATTGCACGCTTCTGTTCTGACAAGTGGTATCAGAGCCTGGTTGCGGTTTTGGGAATTTGGCGCTGAACTGAAGTTTTGCTTTATGGATTTGAAGATCGAGAAGTTAATTTGGAGTTGCAGGTTTGGAGTTAGCAGTAAATTTTTTTTTTGTGTTATGGACGGAAATAACATCAAGTTGGTTCTACATGGCAAGTTCCAACAAGGTTGGACTTGCTGCATGTTTTGATTTATTAACCGCCCTTAGGGGCATTTGGAGGCAAGGGAGATTCTGGTACAACTGATTTGGAGGAGTTAGTACGTCTGGCAATTTTGATTACATCTGAGTTTGGCGATTTGTATCGCGTTTGGGTTTCACGATATGAATCGCATTTGGATATGTCTGGCAATCTTGATTGCGTTTGAGTTTGGTGATATGCATCGTGTTTGAGTCTGGCGATATGTATCGCGTCTGGGTACATCTGGAAACTTTGGTTGCGTCTGGTACATCTGGTATTTGAGAGAGAATTCAAGTCAAGGTGGAGATTGTTAGAATATGACTTGAATTTGATTTGGGTTTTGTTTTGGCCTTTTCCTTGTAGGCTTGGAAAAAGGATTTGGTTTTCTGTTTGGGATTAGGAGAAGAGTTCTATAAATACTCTTCATCACCTTAATCTGTAGTAAGGTCAGTCAGGTTTGTTTGTTTGGTTTGTAACCTTACTCTCCTCAAATTAGTGAAATTTGTCCACCCTACCCGTGGATTAGCTAGCACACATTGTGTTAGTGAACTACGTTAAACTTGTGTTCGTTCGTGTTTGTTTAGATTATCGATTGCACGCTTCTGTTCTGACAACTTGTTTTTTCCCCCCTAACATTGTGCATTTTTTACTACAGAACCCATGAGTATCCATACACCCGCGGATACCCAACAGGTTGGGTTGGGTTTGAGTTTTTCAAACCCAATGAATTTTACCCTGGATTTGTTTGGTGGATATACCCATGGGTTGGGTTTGGGTTTGGCAAAACCCAACCCAACCTAACCCATTGCCATCCCTACTTGTGGGGACTCCCAAGGCCGTCCCATGATATTCGGAGGCCCTGTTCGAAAATTTAAAGTGGGCCCTAAAACTTTTTATCTATAAATTTATTAAAAATAAAAATAATTAAATAATTATAAAAGATATATAAGTTCAGAAAATGATTACAAAAGGAATAAACGATCCCATTTCCAGTTTGACCAAGAAACCAAGACCAAATTCCTAGCTCTAGTAGGGAGGAAAGTAAATCTGGAGGGATTAGAAAACGGATATAGCGCAAAAATTGAATGGAGAAATGAAAATAGTCTAAATTGATCGAGAGGTGGGTGCGAGGCTGTTTAATGGATCGTGGAGGCCCTATTCCCAAATCGAGACGGGATCCAAATTGACTTTTCACTATAATAAAACTAAAATGATTATAATACTATTATCCATAATGTAATATCTTTCTATATTGTTTAAAACAAAATTATCTATTATCTCTCTGCTTTTCGTATTCTCCCTGAGATCATTTTCAATTGTTATTATAGCTAAAATAATCTATTAAACTTGTCATCATACTCATAATCAATCAATCATACATGATTCGGGCCCAAATGTACACATTTTACCCCTAATTCCTTATCCGTTTAGCTTAGTATGTCATCATTCCTCGACATATTTCACGCTAGGTTGTGCTTGTTTTGATACGTTTCAGGTCCTAGCACGTGTGGAAGGGTCGATGTCGAATTTTGGGATAATTGGAGGACAAAAAGCGCAAATACCGAAGAAAAGTCCGAAGACCGTGACAATTGCCCCGTAACAGTTAAGTACAGGCGTCCAGGAAGCAGCCGCAGTTCATGGTCTCCTAAGACCTTGAACTGTAGCCACAAACCGTGAACATCGAGCAGTCCAGCGAAGTTTCAGAGGTTACTGACGCCAAGGGAGTTCACGGTCGCTAAGACCGTTAATTGGGACTAATGACCGTGAACAACAGAAGTGAAGCGGTGCATTTTGGAGACGACATTGAGTTCACGGACGCGTTTAGGTGTTCACGGTCGTGAACTGGTCACTTTCGGGCAAATATGAAGTCAGCAGCGGGGAGAGAAAAGGGATAGCTGGTTTTTGGAGAAGAATTGGTTTCTTTTTCTAGGGTTTCGACCCAAAACATCATGGGGGAGTTCTAGAGAGTGAGAGAAGAATCTTGGAGCTCAATTGAAGGCATTGTTCAAGCTTGGGAGCAAGGAATCAAGCCTAGAAGAAGAAGAAGATCTATAGGTTTCTTTGTAATCTCTCCTCTCTCTCTAGAAACTCACTCTTTTCTCTTGGGTGTTGTAGATCCCTAACTAATATGTTGTAATTACTGGTTTAGATTGAATGATTTTGTATGGGTTTGCATATTTTGAGTATTAGAGGTGCCTTCATGGTGATTGTGCTTAGTTATGTTTTCCATATCTTGTGTGTTTGCCTAACCTAGATTAGAGGAAAATCACACCTTTTTAGGTAGGCTTGACAAGTTTGGTTTTCCTGAGCACTTTGCGCCTGCTATCTAGGTTAGAAATGAGCATCCCACTGGACCCAAGTTTGCATCTAGGTTGGTTGTGATTAAGTCGCTCAAACTCCGGTTTTGGGAGAGCCCTAGGGCAACACTAGAGACTAAGTGAGAGGATCGATTCCATGACAAATCAATCTCTAGTG